GGGGTTTTTACCCAAGCCCATATGGTAACTGAATGTAAGTTCCTTAACAGCAGCCCAGTGTTTGCCAGCCAGGTAGCTTAGCTTCGCGGCCGAATTTCGGCTGCTTGGAGAAGGAATACGTGGAATGATTCCGCCGCCGGCTGAGATGTTGCGGGCCAATGGACGAATCCTGGAAAGCTGCGCTAAGTCATGGCACCTCAAGCCAAAAGTACGACGTCACCAAAACCCTGAATCCCAAACCCCAAACCTCAAAATCTTACGTACAGTGCGGGAACGTTACGCCCCAAAATCCCACGTCCCTGCCTTCCGTTCAAAGGTGCCAGGTCCAACCTGTAGAAGCTGCAGGAAGTGCAGGTTTGGGGTTCAGGGATTTGAGGATCTGGGGTTTTTGGATTCAGGGGCTTTGCGATTAAAAGGCCTTAGGGTCGAGCGATTCAAGGATTTTGCGGCTTGGGGAGTTGGAGTTAGGTTGTAAGGACTTTGCGCTTGTATGAGTGGAGGCAGTCACTCTCCGCTCCACTACCCAGGCTGCTGTCCCTGCGCAGCGCGCCTCGGGTGGGTTATTGTAGACTCCAGGCCATACGAGCTTGGTCTTGTGCGCCTCGCAGCATCGCGGAGGGCGGGGGGGGGGAGGTTCAACATGTGGCATCTGAGGTTTTGGTAGGCTTGGTCCCAGTCATTATCCCTATATAACCCCAATATACTATATATAGTAGTTTCCATTTTCTTTTCCATTATACCTATATAACCCTAAACCCCTAAACCCTAAACCCCAATAGTTGAATTAGCTGAGCCGGGGCACAAATGGAAAGGCTGGAGCCATCCGTGCTTTCGTAGCCTCGAACTTCGGACCAAACCTCAGCCATCAAAGCTTCCTCATATGCTCAACGATGGAAGCGAAAATAACACATGGACGGTTTAAAAACAGAGGCCTTACCTGAAACCTGCTACTTGAGGAAAGAATCTTTAGCCCAATCAACCCTTAAACTCCCAACCGTAAATCCTGAACCCCACACTGTAAAATCTAACCCCACGCCCTGCTACTCAACCCTGCAAACTATATAACCCCTAAATACCACTGCAACCCCTATATAAACCCCCCCAAACCCCCGTATAAGCCCCTATACCTCCCCCAGTTCTTCAGGCAGCTGGTCGCCCACAGCCGCGGGCCCCGGCGAGCTTCGGCCAAAGAAGGCCGCCTGGCAGCCAGGAATCGAAATAGATGATACTAGTAGGAGCTACAAGGGCCTAAACAGTTTCCACTTTCATGGTCCCTTTAACTTTACTGTCCGGGCTATAATGCATAGGATTTCGGGTTCACAGATAGGGCCTATAAAGAGCTTGCGAGTTCTGGTCTAGGGTTTATATGATTTAGACCGGGGCCTGGGGTTTCTGATTTCGGGCTGCGTATTGCGGCTTGGAGTTTACAGGGCTTAGAGGGGTGTTGTGCTCAAATTTTGGCCATTGTGAAAGCTAGATGCAGGGTGACTGTGATCCACCTGGACCTATAAGACTCATTGTTATTATTCTTTGGGGCTACACTGTAATAAAAACCTGAGGAAAAGGAGGTGAAGGGTTAAGGGCATGTAGTTCTATGCTTTTACATGATCATGCCTCTGCTTAAGGGCAGTTTTCAAAAGGTCCAGAACCAGACAGAAACCGACAGAAACCGATGGATAACATGGAGAAATCTCCTCACATGCCTGGATGCTCACCCGCCTCAAAAAGAACCCCAAAGACCCCGAACCTCAAACCTCTGAACACCAAACCCTCAACAATAACCAACAATGTGTCACGGAAAGCAGTAGTAGCCGCGATATATTGCCATACTCCCTGCGCGCCGCATGATCACCCTACCCTTTAGAATCCCACTCCCCCCAAGTAACCTACAACTATGACCCTTCTTCTTACTCCTACCACATTACCACTACTAAACCCTAAACTCTCAAAAAAAACCCTAGCACTCCTATTTGTGTCTTACTCTTGGACTCCACCCCCCCTTCCCAAAGTCAACCTTGTGGGTCTTTAGCAAGGTGGACTCCTTCAAGCTGAAGCGAGGCTCCTCCGACATTGTCTTTCACCAGGCTTGGGCCAGGTTGGATTCTTGGTTTACTTCTTGTTGATGGCTTCTAGGGCTTTAGGGTGTAATGATGTGGCTTACGGCTTTTAAGGCTTCGAGTTAGGGAGTTTGGGGATTACCCTTGCAGACGAGCGGCGGTACCGATTACAATCTTTGGCTCTCGCTTGTACTTGAACTGCTGGCCATCTGGCAAGAGGTTCATGGCATCGTTGGTTGGGATGCCTGACAGAAAGCAGCCGAGATGCAAAGTGCGACCCTAAACCCTGAAACGCAAAGTCCATTCTTATTCCATGGGGGCCGATGGCAACTTCCAAGGTTATCTGGATTCGAATCCCCATGATTGTAGTTTCCATTTTCTTCTCCATTCAATGAAGCCGCTGAGAGAAACCTTAATCCCGCAGCCCTGAAAACCCCAAACCCTCACAATCACAAAATACCCTGAAGCCTGCCCTGAAATAATCCTCTTACAGCAAACAGACAGAGCCACCAAAACCAAAAAAACAAGAACAAAAAGATCGAGGCACTTTCTGGATCCACCTTCTGAGCGGTGAAGTCTGACCTGCCACCATAGCCAAGGCCCGTGGTCGTAGCCCTCGGCTCGAATAAGTGAAAAGTTGTAACCCCCCAAATGACTGGTTTGCTGTTAAGGGACTTAGATTAAGGTACTATAAATGGGGGGACCATTAATTACTATACATACCCAGTAGTGTAAGTTAACCTAAACTCCTTAACAGCAACCCAGATGACGAACATGATCCTAAACCCCTGAGCCCCCTTAAGCTCCTACGCTCCAAGGCGTAAACCCCGATTTCGGATTGAGCTTGTAAGCTCAAGCGGTTGCAGACATGCGTCCTTGTCGCGATGGTTCCTTGTCTTCTTACCATGAGGATCGTTGCACCCAAACCCTAAACCCTAAACCCTAACACAGTGCTGCCCAGGGGCAGATTTGTGTCTAAGGTAGACGGCAAGTTGACCGTGTCCACCTTGGGAGCAGCCCAAGGCTCCACTGCACCGAAGGTACGGCAACCCAAAGTTGCAATATTTCCAAACCTAAGGCCCTTGAGACCCTTAGCCCTAAATCCCACCCTAGATCATACACCCTACACTCCTGAACCCCATGTTTGCGAGGCTCCCACCTTGGGCGATTCCCGGCCTAGTCTGTTGGGCTTGATGTGGTGCTCTGTGATGAACACATTCCTGAACTTCATGCTTCAGAAAGCCGGCTGTTTTCTGCTACGGGTGTAAAGCGATAAAGGATAAGACGCATAACAGCGCATGGACATTGTCGAGTGTGCTCCTCCCAAAAAAAATGACAAAAAGGTGGAGAGACATCAGTTTGAGAAACTTCCGTGTTTGGAACTTCATGCCAACAAGACATAGCAGCACCAGCACAACATATACGTGAAACATGTCTCCATGCATGCCTGTCGGTTGAAGTCGCATTATGTCAACTATGTATGCTGAGCTTACTAAAAGCTATGAATTGTCATGGTCTCAAAGTGTGCAACCTATGCTGCAGCCTATGCTTCTACAATGAGCTTCCCATAAGGCCAGCAAAAAGGATGCCACCCGCCCCTCACCCCATATCCCGAAGGCCAAAGTAAGCTTCAAACCCAACAGAAACATACCCCAAATAAACTCAAACCCTTAACTCAGCCCCAAAGCGCTCACTTTGAAACCAATAATAACTGAATCCGAAACCAAGCATCTGCCGCGCATCCCGGCTGACGCACGAGATGGAGTGATGCGGAGCAGATAAGCGCTGGCTTTGCGCTTGGTGCCCGAGGGCACTTAAAGAGAAGCTATCCTGCCCATCAGGGTTGAAATGGTAGTTTCCCTAAATAGGGGGACCCCAATACATATAGACCCAATACATTCTAATCCTTACTATGGGGACCCCCCCAAAAAAGACCTCCTAATTTTGGGAAACCCCCATATGGGTTGAAGGTATTTTTGTTTGTTCAAGCCCTCGGAGTTCTAGTAGGTTTAGGGTTTGGGATTCAAAGCTTCTGTTTGAGAGCGCAGTGCTTGGGCTACGGCTATGGGGGTTGCAGAGCACCTGCCACAGCCTCTACTGCGATACATCCGGAACTTCTCCAGTCTCACTGCTACCAGGTTCTGCAGTCTTCCGACATTGCAGGCTAAGCCTGCTCAGCATCTTCGCACTATAGTACTTTCCATTTTCTTTTCCATTATCCCTATAGAACCCCAAACTACGATAGTTCCTAAGGTTACTAAAGTATATTGGGGTTATATAGGGATAATGGAAAAGATGGACAGTACTATAGCCACAAAAAAGCCAACCCTGACAGCTGCTGAAACACCCGAAGAAGGTCCTTCTTGAACTCAGAAGGAGCAGCTTAGCTTAAACACGAGCATCCTACTTTCATTGTCTGAGGCCCTGTAGGATCCTCACTTTTTACGTGGACCCACGCAGCAAGAATGACAGAGCGGCACATGTTTGTGCCTTAGCGATACTCGTCATGCCGTACCTGTCAGGGGCTAACGGCTTTGGGCGGAGTTCTGCTGAAGGGCTCAGGGATTAGAGCTTAACTCAATGTGACCATTACCATGCTGGGCATCGCCACGATGATAGCCGTAAGGTCTGATGTCGTTGAAACCAGCATTCTTAACAGCAGTAGGGAATAATTACGGTGGTCCAGTGGCTGCAGCTTCAAGTTTATCGCAAAAGTTGTGATGACAGCCAATTGTGGAAAGGAGCACTAAATGAAGTTCACAGCTGAAAGTAGGAGCCTCATCAAAGCAAGATGATATGCCGATACAACTCCTGGAAAAAGGAAAGCGGCTTCGGCAAACATGCAAAATCACACTTCCATGAGACACACTAAAGAGTAGCTTCCATTATATTTTCCATTGTCCTCTATAACCCCAATATACCCCTTATATGACCCCTACGTATACTCTCACAAGAGCGAGACAGGGAATCAGAGAAAACAGAGCAGGCCTCCAGTCAGCCAGGCACCCTATGGGTCTGGCTATGAGCCCAAAAGCAGCGATTAGCACGGAAGGCTTCTTGAAATGTAACGTTCCTTGTGGGGAGTGTTACATTGTGGCCATTGTGGTGTGTACATTGGACTGCTTACCCACACGGAATGTTATTGTTTGCCTTTCTTTTGGCGAATGCATGGGGACCTTTGGGATACATGGGGGTTTGAGATTGGCTCCGACAGTTGCATGAGGGTGTCTGAAAATTCCGGACCCTGTCTAGGGTGTCTCCTTACAAGAAGCAACTACAGGAATAGAATTCCTACACTTCTCGTACTGACCAGTCACGCGGTCGCTCCTATCCTTGCCCTCGCATGATGCTGAGGACCCCCCGGGCAATACACCATGCGGTGGTCTTGCAGGGATGCAGATGCGCTTGCATGGCTGTATCTCGAAATGCAGTTTTCCAATCTGCCTCCAACAGCATCAAGGATCCCTGACTATGAGCAAATAGCTCCTTATTCTACAGGCCTTCAGGAAAGTACTCATGACTTTGGCACGCCCTTGCTGCATTCATTGTTTCTATTAAAACTCGGAGTCCTGGAAAGTTTAACTCGTTCCCACAAGTTCTTCGGCGAGTGGGCTCTCTCCACCTCAGCCAACCAAACCGGGTCTGTCGTCACACGGGCAAGAATTCGTCAACACAACAAGTCGTGCTCTCTCTGCTGCACTGCTACCAGTCGCGTGGTCTGACAGGGCAGCATGCACAGCTACGGCCTAGCTATGCGAATGCTCTGAGAATGACCGGCTCCTGAACCCAACATGCGCAAAGCAAGCTATTTTTTGCAGAAACTTCTCTATATTCCTCCTATACCCGTGTCTCGTAGACACACCCCCAGAATCCCTGTATCTACAGTTTTCAGAGCTTCCTTTCATACTTCCCATATGCCTATGTTTACAAAGAGGCTTTTTGGAAATTACGGTTCCGCCCCTAAATAGGACCCTATGACTATCATATGACTATAACAAGGTCAGCAATCCTCATTTTGGAGGTTGGGGTTGCCAATACTACTATGGCTGTTTCATCGGCTCCTTCTGGGAACCCAGCTGTTTTCATGTAGAGGTAGTTCACGCCCTCATCCTCCAGAATTGTGGCATACCTGCATGAGGTTTTAGGATTGCTGCTTCCTTAACCAAAAAGGCTGCTGAGTACTGGGGAGAATATCTACAGCCCAAAGCTCTGAATTCTCGTCGCAGCTGTCAGGTCACTGGCTGTTCGCCAAAGGACACGCCGACTTGTTGCAAAGCCCTGTGACCTCAGCATCGGCCCAGTCTCTTTGACTTGCTCCAGGCCAAAATCTGAAAATCAGATCCCAGGAAAACCCAACAAGCCCAGCCCATCGTAGGGGGAGTACTAATAGAGGAGGAGGGTACTCAATTGAGGATCGACATGTCAAGCTTGCCTGGGTGGATTGTGAAATGCTGTCCGAGACACGTTGTAGGGGTTGCGACCTCAGGTGTTGCAAAAGATGCATACAGGCTGCCTTTCAGGTCCATAGAGAGCATCTGAGACTGCTTACAGAAATCTTGCTTCGGCTGCTTCCATCGCACCTGGCACGGGCCATCGGAAACAACCTCTGCTTACTGGTTCCTAACAGGGAATAAAGAAAATATAATCCCTATATAATCCCTAAAATGTATTTCCATATTTCCTACTAAGAACCAGAAAGTAGCAGCATAATTGCGAGGCAATGCAAGACTTGTCACTGCTTTTAAGCGCCGTGTTCACAAAACGAATGATTGCTATACGGACTGCTACGTGACTATGAATGCAATCGTTCTTCTCACACAGCTTCCCCTCTTTTGTACCCCTTATTTAGGTAGGAACATTAGGCTTGTTAAGGGAGAACCTTGGGAGTAAGCAGTATACAGGGGGTGGGCGGGAAAACGCATAATTCTTGCTGAGACGGGAGACTTCATGGGGCTCCCTCGCTGCGGTAATAGTGATGACTTTATTCAGGTTCATGTCTGGTATAGTTAATACCTCGACATGATGGGTATTCCGGGCGTCGACTTGCTTCCTACGACTACAAGTCCCACAAGAAAGTTGCGAAAACAGTGGAGCTATCGGAACTCAACCCGTACTCCCCATCCTTTACTATTGTTATCAAGTCTCAAAGGAAACGACTGAATAAGGAAATACCACAGTTATGGTCCACACTACGTCTAGTCAGCAAGGCCTAGCTCCAAACCGACGACCCCAATCCCTGGCCCTCAACCTAAACACCACATACCCCCCCCCCTCCAAAAAAAAAAAGATTTTCCATTTACATTTTCCATTATCCCAATACATCCCAATATAACCCCTATATACCCTAAACCCCCAGTCCCACAACCCAGAGCTTCTTTTGTACAACCAAGCGCGCGGTCATCCAGAGCAATCCTACGCCGTGTGGGGCGGTGGCTCAGCGTCGGACATGCTCGGAGCGATGCAGTGGTCAAAATCAACGGCACTTGGTACCCTGCTGATGTCAGGGTTTTGGGTTTGAGTTTAGGGTTGTAGCTTCAGGGAATCCAGGTGAAGTGTTCAGTAACCATCAATCCTTCCATTTCATTCGTGCTTGCGTCGGAGCGTGTGCAGTGACCTCCATGTACCCCACCTATCCGCCCTACTTATCATTACAACACAGGTGCGTAGCAGTACTTATCATTATGAATCTACGTTTTTGCATCCTTCAAGACATCGTCGCATCATTCTGTCTAAAACCTGCTGAATCCTAAGCCAAAGAGCTTCAGGCTCTGCCTCAGCCCCAAACCCTCCACCCTACACCCCAAGCCCTACATCCTAAACCCGAAGCCGCCTTAAACCCTGATGCGAAACCCTAAACAAATCCTTGCCCCCCAAGAGATCCCGTGATTTTGACAACCCACCAGCTCTGGGTGTGAGTGCCCAGGTTCGAGACATTGCTCGGAGAGAGCCACAAGGAGCTCACAACACAGAGATCAAGTCAAGGTACAGCTGTTAGGGCTCATAGGATTTGAGCTTTGCACGCCCATTTGTAGTTTAGGGCTTTGCGCGCGGAATATGGGGAAGTTTACGGGTGAAGCTTTAAAGCTTTGTGTTTGAAAAGTCTGGGACGATGGCAAACACGGCAATGGTAGTGGTAGTGGTGATGGTCGACGGCGGTGATGGCGGAGGTAGTGGTGCTGGTGCTGATGGTGCTGGTGCTGGTGGTGCTGGTTCTAATGGTGCTGGTGCTGATAGTGCTCACAGTGCTGGTGTTGGTGGTGCTGGTGCTGATGGTGCTCATAGTGCTGGTGTTGGTGGTGCTGGTGTTGATGGTGCTGGTGTTGTTGGTGCTGGTGCTGATGGTGCTGGTGCTGATGGTGCTGGTGTTGGTGGTGCTGGTGTTCATGGTGCTGGTGTTCATGGTGCTGGTCTAGATGGTGCTGGTGTTGATGGTGCTGATGGTGCTGGTGTTGATGGTGCTGATGGTGCTGATGGTGCTGGTGCTCATGGTGCTGGTCCTGATGGTGTTGGCGCTGATGGTGCTGGTGTTGGTGGTGCTGGTGCTGGTGGTGCTGGTGCTGGTGCTGGTGCTGATGCTTTTGCTGCTGCTCGCGATGGTGGTGGTATTGGCGTCAGCGATGGCAGCGTTGGGGCGACGAGCGGCGCAGGTGGTGGGGCGGCAGCAATTGTGGCGGCGGCGGTGGTGGTGGAAGAATTGCAAACAGAAAGTATGAGAATAAGGGCAGTTATCGAGAATGACTATACCAATCTCGCTTCTGACAATAAAAATGAACAAGCACTGTGGAAGATGTACGTAACAATCGACGAAGATTGTGAACGCAGAATCCATGGCATTCCTAGTCTGCATGATTTTCAGTGCCTTTGACTTCCCAATGTATGTTGGAACCAACTCAGGTGATCCAGTTAGGAGAGGGTCAACAAAGGGTAGGCAACCTAACACATCCCAAACATCTAATCCTAAGTCTCACACCACGGCCCGCAACTATCCATTCTAGACACTCCTTCCCTATAACCCAAATGCACCTACTTGGGGTCTACATTATCAACCCAGGGTGGGTAGGTATGGATGTTGGGATCAATGGCTGGGCAGCTCACAAAGGGCATTCACAAGCTTTCAAATCGGAACCAACGGCGGCAGCCGCCGCGTGCCAACCAAAACATACCCCCCAGGGGTTTAAGGGCTGGCGGCGTCCCCTTCCAGCTTTTTAGTAGTGTAGTATAGTGTAGTATCGCATTGTACAATAGAGTATAGTATAGTATCATATGGTATGATATAATATATCATAGTAAAAATACAATATAGTACAATATAACATTATTTGATATAAAATGGTCAAGTATAATATGGTATAGTACATAGTATATTATCATATAGTACGATGCTTAAGGTTTGGAGCTTTGGGTCTAGGTGTAAGGGAATAGGGAATGCATTGGGCTTCATGGTACAGTTGATCTGGGCAGTCTTATCTGTCGGTTCCCCCACTAAGATCATACCCTCCTTGCAATGACCTAGAGGATTCAAAGCTTAAACGCCTACATGCGGTCGTAGCTAGGTACCTTCATCTGGATGGCAAAGGAAAAGACCGTCTTCTGATTGAAGTTCCGACGATTATTCCTGCCTTGCAGGTGCAACGACGTTTGGCCGCCTTTACCAGCCCAATCAATAGCTTCATTTACGTCACAGTTACCAAGTCCCGGGTCATTGTGCAGTGCGATCGAAAAATCTTGAGAAAAAAGGCAAATCTCCAGAAAATACCAGGGGACCCGAGAGATGTAGCTCAACCAGCTTTGGGGGCGAGGATCCCCCTCATGGAGGCAGCTGCACTGACTCAGGGACCTAGTAAATCCCACTTCGAATCAACGAAATCGGTTTAGACGGGCCCTTCTCATCCCTTGGTTTCGATCGCGACAGCCTCACGCAGATTCAGGCGCAGGGTGGTATTTTGATTAAGGCTGTTGGTAGACAAAAGCTGTTAGCGGGTGGTGCTCTTCAGTCTTCAGGGCCTCAAGACGAGGACACTCATAGCTCACATATAAGTTTACAAGGTGATTGGCCGGAGGCCTTGTTCCTTCCAACAGTAGAAGTACGCTAAGATTCACCGGTAATGATCATTGTAGTTGGAAGTGCCAGGGCATTCCACGTGTAGATCTGATCCCGGATGCACAATAACAAGAAGCCGCAGTAGCAGGCATGGCTGTTACACAGTCATCATAACCATTATCAACATCATCATCACAATCACAAGAGCCCTAGACTAAAAAGCCATAAGTTGGAAAAACGCACAACACCCTTGACCATCAAACTTCTTTCTTATAGGACCGCACACAGTAGACCCCAAACTCCTCGCTGCGCCTCACCAGTGTTTGGATTGGTGATCTGGAGCGGAGTCGAAGGCTTTCTCCTGAACCAGCGAGCTCTGAGACTCCCCAGATTGAGGCCCAAAGCCTTATTGAAATGACAAGAAGCACCATGGAACTCAAGAGGAAACCCTACTATAGGCGTCCACATGCGGGTTTTTGCGCGGAGATTGGTAAGTGTTGAGGGTTTAGGGTTTGGGGGGTTTAGACTAATGGTTCCTAGACCCCAACCGCTAATTTTCCGTGAAAATGTTGAAGGCGTTTGCTTTGGCTTGCGGGTTTGGAGTTTAAGCTCTCGGGCGGTTTTACCGCCAGCATGACAAAACCAACAAAACCCAGTGACTTTGCCAAACCTAACTAGAGATTGAAGACGTCAGGTTGTCAGGCTTGAAGCACATTGTATTCAGATTCCTAGAAGCTAAGTTGCTAGAACAAGGCTGCATTTTCTGCGTTGGACTTTGGAGTCTAGCCTGTGATGATAAACCCTAGATGCCATATTCTGGCCCCTACAATTGACTCCCCACATTTGGGAGATGGGGGCAGCTGTCGGATTCCCCTTTCTGGATGTAGGAATTATCCCAAGGAACAGGGCTTTGTTTTGGGAAGCTCCTTTGTTAGCTCTCTCAAGATCAGCAAGCAATGAAGGTCTAGGAAAAATACACCCAAGATCTGATACCTTGATAACCAAGCCATATGAAGAGAAGCAGCCTGAAGGCTGACAGTATCATGCCCCACAGTGGACAAAACAGAGGGAAGCTGGAAACTTCGAGCTCGCGAAGCATGGACTTATCCTACATCACCAAAGAAAACCAAGAGGTTCACAAGTACTACTTTGCTAGTCCTATTGCACCCTGAACCCTTAACAATTAAACCCTGTTAGTCTTCTTGTTATTATGCTTTCTAGTATGTGACACTTGGGACGGTGCGGGACGAAGTTCATGCCCATAGTGTCGATCGGCTTGCCGCCTAAGGACGACATACACACGCACAAATGGGCCTTTAGGAGTTTAGATTTAGGGCTTAGGGTTAAGGGATGGCTGAAAATTGGGGCTTAAGGGAAACTTTAAGGGTTTGTGCCAACGGCTTGGGGTTTGAGGGTTTTTCGGTGTTTTCGTACGAAAGATTTGGGATTAGAAGATGTAAGATCTGGGGTTCCAGGTTTTCTGGTTGAATTTCCTGGGTTTACGATTCAATCAAATTCGGGTGCAGGACTTCTCTTTCG